GCTCACATGGTGTGGCCTCTCAGGAACTGCCACAGTTAGGTGACATAGGGTGACAATTGGGTGACAATTCCCTTCTGAAAAAGGCCAGCGGTAGGTGACTTAGACTTGCTATATTCTAAGCACTGAGACATAGGTTTCCTCTTGTACTTGTGATCCAATTTATTCTGAAATTTCTTCATGTTGGATTGGTAAGATCTGAGACTCAAATTGGGCTTGGGGGTGAAGGTCGGACATGATGTTCAGGCAGATTCACTCAAGTTCTGTGGTAGGGTTTGGGACTAAAACCTCAACTAATTATCTTACTGTCTTTTCTGCTTACATCTCCCCTAGGGAGCCTGTGGTATGCAGAAAGTGGTCAAATGATATTCCCCCAGTCCTCTCCCAAAATAACATCTTCATTAAATTGGTGAGTCGGGGACTATGTCTCCATCTTTTTACCTTTCATTATACCAGTTCCAAACAATGCCTATGACTGCATCAGACAATTTTTACACATCCTTCTACACTTTTTTCAGACACTAAATTACTCTTCAATAAACATTTCTTGATTTCTTACTATGTCCCAGGAATTGTGCTAGGTGTTGGGCAAACAAAATCAAGAGAAAAGTTGACAGATGATTACAATACAATGTTCCAAGAGCCATGTGAGAAATATGTGAAGAGAAAATAAGAGCATACTTCTTGGAGGATGTGAACCATAAGTTGAGTTTTCAAAATAAAAAGGAATTATCAGGTAAGAGTAGATAAGAATGGGGCATGGACAGAGTGAGGGATGGACAGAAGGAGCTGCACGCTCCGTGAATGTGCTGGGGCGTCGTTGAGCATTTTATGCTGAGAAGTAATAGGATGTGATTTAATATTTACAATGTTTGCCGGCAATCATGTTTTATGGAGGGGTAACAGTGGAAGCGATCAAATTTGTTAGAATTCCAGTGTAGTAACTCACATGAGGTTATGAACCTTTGCAGTGGGAGTGGGGGGGGGGGGGGGGGCTGAGGAAATGAGAGGGCCACAGATGTAAATCATTAAGGATAATTTAGTTAACATCACTGGTGGGATACAGAGAGGATCGCTTTTACTTATTTTACAGTATTTTCATTGTGCTTATCACCCCACTCTTCTGGAATGGTGGAATGTACAAATGGTACAATTAAAACTCAACTAGGTAAAATTTCAGAAGCTTTTAATCTCCCTTGGCCAAAACTCTCCTTATAGTGCTTCTCAACCTGAGATATTCCTTTTGGTAAACACAGGCTTTCGCCTCATTAGTCATTGTTCACCCTGTGTGAAGGGACATATGAACCAACCTTACTAAAAGGAGACACTCTTCTTATTATCAAGGACTTATTAATTATCTTAAAGAAATTAATAAATTAGTGACTGATTCACTTCAGTGTGCTCCCAGGAGACCAAGACTTCAAAGACCATGACTCACAACCAGGGACCTTTATCCATTGGACAAGACATCAAAGACTCTCCAACCTTGTCAGAAGGGACCTATCAGTGGATATCAAAGACTCCTCAAGGATGAGAAGCTGCCAACATCAGGGTTAGACAGCTAGCCCAAGACATCAAGAAGGCCTGTATACCTACATAATTGATATTGAACTGAAAATAACAATTTTTTTATTGTCTTTACCTGTCTGCTAATAATAGTCATAACACTTGTTCTTTAGGCTTTTCTCAAACCCCGTACTTATATAGCACAATTGTTAATAATTGCTAAAGGCATATAAGATAACTTCTTTATTATCAATAATTTTTTTATGGTTTTGAATTTAGAATGAATGTTATTATAGAAGGAAAAAAAGGGATGTGTGTGTATTTTTGAGAGAGGTTAAAAGGAAGGAATAGTTTGTCCTAGTAAGTTGATTATTTCTAAATGAGGAAAAGGAGACAAACTGAGAAGGATGAGTGAAGTTGTAGGTTAATGGAAAAGAAATATTGAGAAAGGAATTTTATATTAGAACCCAATTGTGCTTACCCCCTAACTCAACATAGACTATTAATTATATTAATTCAGATAGAAACTAAAGTGGAGATCTATATCTATCATCTATCTATCTATCTATCTATCCTGTGTTTCCCCGATAATAAGACCGTGTCTTAATTTTTGCTCCAACAATCTACATTTATTTATTCATGTACAAAAATCTACATTTATTCAAACAATCATGTCTGGCTGAAGATCTTAACTGGGGCTTATGTTTGGGGTAGGGCTTATATTACAAGCATCCTAAAAAATCATGATAGGGCTTATTTTCCAGTTAGGTTTTATTTTCGGGGAAACATAGTATATATATATATATATTTATTTATATATTTATATTTATATATGAGGCACAGAAAATTGATTTTACTTTACCTTACTGTCCTCCTGGCCTCTAGAAATTTTTAGGTAGTAGTTATAATTTACACCATTGTGTTCTTACAGCCTACAGCCTTAGCCCCATGTTAAACCTTTAAGTTACAGTTCCCAGTTATACAACTTGCAGAAATCAGATTAATGAATGACACTTGGGTGCTTCCAATATAAAGTATTGAATAGATAGGCCATATTAAATTGTGAAGGAAAATGTCCCCAGTCAAAATGGAATTCTGAATTCACCCAATCGTGGCCTATTGTATCCACCTCAACAAACAATATATGGTATATGGGAAGGAGATATTTTTGTTGGGAAGGGTTAGAAAATTCTTCTGTCATACTGATTTCTACTGTAATGACACCAGTTACAGTAAATACTATGGGAATATAGTATAATACTAAAATCATAGGCAAATTAACTTTGCCTGAGGTAAATAAAACCCACGATAATATTGATACTGAAAATCTCGTGCATTGGGAAATTGAACTTAATCCTCCCTATGAAGTCCATTTTATAGAAACTAATGGGCCAAAAGAAAAATTAGAACTTCTAGCTCATGAATAGTCTCATTCATCTGGCCAAATTTATCATAAAGTACAAATAACAGTAAACGAGAGAGAAAAACATACTATTAACTTAAGAAAAAAATTATAATAATGCATATAAAGGGTTCTTTAGATGGCTAAGATGTTTATTCTCCTCAGACTCATACATGTCTAATATTGGACATTTTCTGCCCCTAATCGGTGTTACTGGTTTAATACTATTGCTCTTGGTCCTAGTTTGTATGTTATACTAGGTACAAAAAGGAACATAGGACAGAGGAAAAAACTCGGATCATGATAGCTCAAAGATTAAAAATGATCCAGCATTTAATGAAGGCATATAGGATCTGACTGCCTCCCATTTGCTCACCTTTTCTTCTTTATTTTAAAGATTTTTTTTTAATTGGGGAATTGGGGGGAAGGGAACAGCATTGGGGAATCAGGGAAGGGGAACAGACAGGTAGACAAATTGCTCTTTTGTTCTTCAGTCTAGTTGTGGAGGACGTCACTTCACTGGCCCATGTTGGTATGATCATTGTGCTCTTCCTGGGTGAGGCAATCGGTCACCGGTTATTGGTCGGCTGCTCACAGCGGCTCCCTGGTAGCTCGCACCAGCTACCAGCTGCTCATGCTGGCTGCCAGCCACTCACGTAGCTCACTGCAGCCCGCTGCAGCCAACGCCACCACTGGCGACTCTCAGCAGCCCAGCTCCAGGTCGAGCTGTTGTTCATCATCTTAGCTGTAGAGGGCGAGCATCATTGGCCCTTAATGTGGGATCCAAACCGTGGCACTGCTGCTCAGAGCTGGTGCTCCCAAGCAAGCTCTTAACCAGCTGAGCCACTCGGCCGGCCCTGCTCACCTTTTCTTTTAAATAATTCGGCCTTGACTGCCATCTAAGGTCATAGTCTTGACCCACCCCAATGGTCTAATATTCGGCAAGATAAATGCTGACACTAACACTTTCTAGGAATGAGCCTTCCTAGCACCATGGGACCACATATCCAACCAAAAGGTTGGTCATCAGTGCACCCTTTGGATTGATTTATGACCAAAAGGAGGAAGTGTGGATGGAAAAGGGGCCACATATTAAACCTGACAAGCTCAAGAGACTGAAAAATAACCACATAAGATGGTCTGAACATAAAAATTCCTAACTAAAAGCGAGTCCTGGCCGAAAATTCTACAGAGGACCCCTTATGAGTTTAAGAACATCTTGTGCTCCAGCATCTCCGTATGTTCAGCTGTACTGTTTCTTGCTCATTCCAGGTTATCTCATACTGGCCCTGCAGTTCAAATAGGGACAGTTAGTGCTGATTTAGGAGACAGCATGTCTCTCCAGGAACTTACAAGAGACCAGAGACTTAGAGTCAGCATATGAAACTTTGCAGGGGGATCAGCAATAAAAGAACTAATTGACATTTCAACCAACTGGACCAATCTCTCCCTTTCCTTGATGTAGAATTTTCTTGACCAATTTTCACTTAATGCAATGATGCAGATAAATCAGCAAATAAAAAGTCAATTTGTTCTGTTACCTCCAGAATTTTGTAAACGGAAGTTGATACATGGTATGAGCTAGAAGAAATTATCTTTTGAGGCTGTGACATTTCACCCAGGACAAATTGTGTAGACCTTGGATCAATGGTTCAGAAATGTTTGTATTTTAGGATAGTCTCTTCTGCAAACCCCGGGCTCAGATCTTACCTGTGTGTGTATATTCCACCTGTGGCTTTGCTAACCTTCCTCATGGAAAACTATTCTGTACTCCCTGATCTCTTTGTGAGTATGAATGCTGTTCAGAAGAATCAAGAAACTGAAGCCCTGGAAAGTGAATAGGTAAAATGGAGTTTCAGAAACCAGGGAACTTGGCTGCCCATGTTACTTTTATTTTATATGTGTATATTTCCAAAGGACAATGGCTGAATGGTTTTAAAACCAAATTAATCGGAATATCATTACTGACCAAAATGAGAATTTCCTTGTTGAGCTCTTAAGAGTTGCGGCCTTGTTAGCTCATCCATATTCCCCTGAAGTACACTGGCACACAATGGATTGAAAAACAGAGCAGAAGAAACCAGGCACGGAACAGTCTCCCTTCTCATGCTTTAATCCCATACCCTGTGCTCCATTTATGGAGGACAGTCTCCCCAGTCCTTGACACTCCCACAATCAGAGCACATGAGGTTCATAATTATTCAGCCTCATCTCCATGGAAATTTTATCAGGCAACAGAGATCCTTGGGCCATGAGAACTACTATTTAGTTCTTAATTACATGAAAATGAAATCACATAAGAAAAAGCAAACAATGAAAATACATGAAAGCCGTTTTACTCCCAGTAAATTCTTCAGGGTCCCAGGTGCTGGGGTTTTTGTGATTTTCCCTGATATCAGAGAACCCGGGAAGGGATGATGGCGGTGGGGTGTCAGGAGAAATGTCTTGATAGCCTTGGCTCCCAGCAACAGCTTTTTCTTAATTTTTCCATAATTTGATGTCAGGTCTTCTCGTTTTCTTCATGTAAGTGAGGTGATCCAGTCAACCATGATTCTACAATTATGATACTGCCTTTGTAAGCTGACTGTTCCAAAATTCCCTCACAAACCCCTGTGAAAAGGTTGGGCTTGTACATATGTGGAAATGTAAATGATTTCATTATCCTTTACTAAATCCGTTGGCACCCAAATGCTACACCCCACTTGTAGTAGAAAAAAGTGCTAGGGACAAAACCAAGCGACTGGTAGAATAATGGGAAGGCTAATGGCATGAGACTTCTAACAGGAAAAAAACACACCCCACAAGGAAAAGAGGCTTCTGGCTAGGTTCTCCTTTCTAGCAGTGTCTGGCTCCTGGTTTCACTTTGACAATGGGGAAGTGAGCACCTTGACAAGGTCCATGTGAGGCAGCCTTGAGGTTTTCGCCCATCAAATACTTCTCCCACCTCTCCCCAGTATCAAGGCAAGTGCATGGTGAGGAAGTGAATCGGTAAGATGTGTACAGTTATCCTGTGAATATGTGGCAAAGCCATCAGGATGCAAATCTCCGGCCTCGAGTTCAGGGCTGTGTGCTTTAAGATCTGAGCCTAGTAAGGACAGGGTCCTACAGGCTGGTCCCGTACCAAACCTAAGGGGTTGTCCTGGGCCACTTTAAACTTGAGGCTGTTGAATAGTCATTAGGATATCTAACAGCCTATTCTGAGGAAAATAATTATAACCATAACCTCTTACGTCTTCTAATTCTCCTACTTCATACCCATGAGGTAGAGGCAAGAGCACTCCAGTTAAGGCAAAGCCTCAACTCAGGTTGTACTTTGGGCAAAGTAGCTCCTCAAGGAGTAAAAGAAGGTTGAGAGGTTCTGCCCAGGGATTTTACTTAATTGTGGGAAGAGGTTATATTGATCTGGGCAAGTAAGGGAGACTCCCTGGAAAAGGTCTTCCCAGGCTGACCACAGGGCTTCTTCTAGCTCATCTCTGGGTCAGGGCTGAATGCAGATCTCCTCACATGGGGACCTAGCTAGGAGGTCTTTTCTGAGTGGGTCCTCTGATGCCTGATTAAGTGATAGCCTCTGCTGAAACTTTTCCCACAGGTAGGGCATGTGAATGGTTTCTCGCCAGTGTGTGTTCTTTGATGCCTGACGAGGTGGTCCCTCCGACTAAAGCTTTTCCCACATTCATTGCATCGGCAGGGCCTCACGGAGGCATGTCCTCGCAGGTGCTTGGCAAATGCAGCACTATGGTTGAAGCACCGACCACACTCGCTACAGAGATACAGCTCCTCAGCTGCATGGGTCTTCCGGTGTGCCAGGTACCTCCTGTGGTCACTGAAGTCCTCTCCACACTCTCCACACAAGTAGGGTTTGCCTCCCAGGTGGATTCTTTGGTGTGTTGTTAGCACTGATTTCTGGCTGAAGCTTTTGCCACAAATAGTACAGAAGAAGGGTTTTTCTCCTGTATGTGTCCTTTGATGCCTAACAAGGTCTGAAGTCCAGCGGAAGTGTTTTCCACAATCGTCACATCTATACGGTTTCTCAACAGATGAAGTTCTCTTAGCCTGGACCAGAGGGGAGGCCTCATTCAAATTCTTCCGATTTAGGGGAAATTTATAAGGAGTGCCCATTTTGTGAACCTTTTGGTGCCTGGCAAGATGTGAACTCCGTGTGTAACTTTTTCCACATTCCATACACTTATAGGGTTTCTCTCCTGTGTGAGTTCTCAGGTGTCTAACAAGGTGGGAGTTACACGTAAAACTTTTTCCGCATACAGGACAGTCATGATGTCTCCCTAACAGGGAGTGGATAGGCGTAGTTTCTCGAAGATTTGTTAAACTATTAACTTGAGAAATATTTGTACCAAATCTTCTTTCACTATGTCTACCTGGATCATCCTCAAAGATTATCTCCCAATCTGGAGTCTGATGAATTTCTAAATCTCCTACAACCGACCTGTGTAGGTCCTCCAAACTCAGATCTTCTTGCTCAAGAAACTCTTCCTCATCTTCACTCCTATCTCCTAAGAGAGGGTGAGAGGAGACAAGGGGAAATTATAGAGGTAATGACGCCTTCTGCGCAATGGGGGAATTTTTAAATGGTTTTGGAAGGGCCAGACCATACAGAGAAGCCCATATTGCGTAACTATAGGTTAGGAAAGAAGGAAATAATCATGCAACTGAATGCCTGTCATGTGTCAGGTACTTTCTTATATGTTATCTCAAGCTGTCAATAAGCCTTAATTTGGAAAAATATTATTATTCTCATTTCACAAATGTAGAGACTGAGGATCTCGAGTTTAAGCGAACTGCTTAGTAGATGGTATAGCCGTAATTCCCAAAGTCCCGGCTCCTCGTCTTTCATCATTGTGCATTCCCTATACCTTAAACAAATGATGGGACGGAGGGAGAGGAGGAAGAGGATAGAAGAACTTGGCATTCAGACAGCAGTAATGGCTGACATCTTAAAAGAACCAGTGAGAGCGGCACCCCAGAGGCAGAGTCAGGCTAGAGGAACTGCCAGCCCAGGGGGAAGAAGATTCCTTGTGTCATTCCTCACCTGTGTAGGTAAAACTCAGGATCTCCGGCTCTTGAGGCTCTTGAAGTTCTAGGCTATCTCGGACCAAAGGCTCTTCTTCTCTAATGTGGGAGATCTCATCTAGTCTGGGGATTGGAAATGCTGCTCAAGAGAGGGGGAAACACGACATTACAATTGGTTCAACAATTTCCTTTGTTAAGAGCAGACCTTTTCTGTTTGGTAGATTGTAGAACAAATATATAGCCAGGTCAGTAGATCAAACCTTTGATCTCTCTAGCTTGAGCAACTCCAACCAAGTACTGCATACCTCTTGCCTTTCACCTACAACTCAGTAATTATATAACTGTAAATGCTACCCTTTCTCCCCATACTCAAGTATGTAGATTATCTCCAACTTGTATTGCTTGTTTCAAAACTCATATGCTTGGGAGCTGGCTGAGTGGCTCAGTTGGTTAGAATGTAAGCTCTGAGCCAACAGGGCTGCTGGTTCAATTCCCACATGGGCCAGTAAGCTGTGCCACAGCTGAGCTGCCACTGAGCTGGTGAGAGTGCGTGCTCTTAACAACAAGGTTGCTAGTTCAACTCCCGCATGGGATGGTGGGCTGCGCCCCCCGCCCCCCGACAACTGAGATTCAACATGGCACCTTGAGCTGAGCAGCTGCGAGCTGCTGACAGGCGGCCGGATGGCTCAGTGTGTAGCAAGGTTGCCGGTTCGACTCCCGCATGGGATGATGGACTATGCCCCGACCCGCAACTAGATTGAAAGTGGCGACTGGACTTAGAGCTGAGCTTGCACCCTCCACAACTAAGATTGAAGGACAACAACTTGAGATTGAAGGACAACTTGACTTGGAGCTGATGGGTCCTAGAAAAACACAATGTTCCCCTCCCTAATTCCCCAATAAAAATCTTAAAAAACAAACAAACAAAAACTCATATGCTTAACTCAACTAAACCAACACTATAATATTATAACTATTTTCTTATTAGAAATTTCCAACCATGTTCTAAGCATTTTCTCTTCCCTTTAACTTGGAAGGATAGCATCTTCCTCAGCTAATCCTTCAATCTCATCGGTGGATAGGTGTAAGAGACGTGTAATACATACTGTCTAAAACCCCCATAATTTCCAACAGGAAAAAGATCTCTGTGCTCAGAACATTCTACAGACACTTGAAATTACTTACATAAGGAGACCACAATTCCACAGTCTTCTTCCAAGACATATTCTCCATAGAACTCTTCCTGCGCTGGATCCAGGTCACTCCACTGGTCCTGGGAGAAGCATACAGCCACATCCTTGAAAGTGACCAGTCCCTGAAACAACACCAGGATGCAGTTAAAATGTGGTGCCTTGTAGAGCCTCGTATTTTGTTTTGGAGTGAAGGTCTTTGGTATAGGCAGAATCCATCCAGGACACAAAAGGAACTCAGATGAGATACTTGGTTCCTTTTCAGGAAATCTGTGTTTCACCTCGTCACTGCTTCCCAACTTTCTACGTTGGCACTGGCCCTACTCCTGCTCCAGTCCCACTGCTTTCTCTCAGAACCAGCTAAGGTTCTTCCTCTTGAAAATGTTGTTTAAATACATGAAAACCCTATTTGATGCTTTAATGCTACTTACATTTCTGTAAAAGGCTGTCTTTTCTAGGAAGCTTTCCCTAAGTGACCTTCTCTAATCACCCTTATCATTTACAAAGTCTACACGGCATAAAGAGGACTTTTTTTATTCAGCTGGACTATAATCTAAAAACACGAATGAAATTCTACTCCTTCTTCCTCTGGCCACATAGCTTAGTTTCCAGGTAGGCCCTTACCATGGTGAACCTTCATAAACGTCATGGCCTGGCTGAATATAGTCCCTGGAAGAGTACACCACGCAATTTCAGAAATCATTTCTGCAGCAGTCAGTCAGCCTTACAGATGACTATCAACTCTATCTCTGAAACCCAAAAACAAACCCTCACTGAACTGCAAAGTTGCACTGCAGTGTTACAAAACAAGCCCATTCTGTTAGTCCCTCTGGTCAAGTGGCAAATAAAGAGGCTTTGGAGCCTCCACATCCTACTGAGACTAGTGTTACAATTTATCTCATTAGATGCAACATCCCTGACCCCTCCATATGTGCAGAACTGAGAAATGAAATTGGCAAAAGGAGTAGAAAGTTGTGTCCTGTCTGACCCGCTGAGTATATGGCTGACACCTCAGGGTTCTTCAAATTCTCTGTGGAACAGAGGGTAATGAAGGCACACCTGTGATAGAGCTGTGAGAAGGGCAACCATCTCTGGGTTTCCAGTGCTCCTCTCCTCAGGAAGGTCTGGGTCCTGGGGTACCGGAACCTCTATGAAGAAAAGATGGCAGAGATCAGCAATATGCGGTGCACCCTTGTAACTGGCAAAGCGCTGAGTACTCCCAAACATCTCTGGTGGGAAGATGGGAATCAAAAAGCAGCGTAAGGGCAGCTCAAGTCATCTCGACACCACCACCTAGAACACTATCAGATGCCAGGAGAATAACCAAGAATATTGCTCTTTAAGCTTAGCTCTGTTGATGGGGGACTCTAGCTAGTACTGTCTCCTCTCAACACCCTAGAATCTGTGACTTCTTTCATTTTACAATCTACCTAGCCTCCCTGGTATAGGAGAAATATCCCCCTCCCCGCACTCTGCCAAGATGCCCCCTTTCTGTTGAGGTTTCCCACCGCTCTCCTGCAGAGGCTGGAACTCCAATTCATGGCACAGGCTCTGCTCTTCTGGTGTCCCGAGATCTGGGCTCTGTGTGGTCTCCTCATGGGACTCCTCAAGGGTCAAGGTCTGCACAGGATCCTGCATCTCACGAGGTGACTCAGGCTCTGCTCCTGGATGCACTGTCTCCTCTGACAGGACTTCCTGGCCATGAACATGGACAGTCACCTGGGAATAATTCCAACTTCCAGTCACCATGGAGTCAGGAGGAAAGTCTTGGTTGTCATCAGGACTTATTTTAGGAGAAGCTGCCAATAGAAAAACTCCCAGAGGGACCCAGATGAAGAGGGGAAACTTCTGTTCCACTGGGGCATGCAAGGAGCTGTTGAAGGTTATCCTCACCAGGATAAGGCAGGGAACATTCAGATACTGCACAGCTTTCTCACTTCCCTCAGCCCTGTCCCTATCACTCAGGGCTCTGAGGTCCTGTCCTTCCCATCTCCACCTATCCCACCTGCAGCAATCCTTGTTGTTTGCTTCCCTGTCTTGTTATCCTGGGTGGGGGATCTGTGACTGAGGGTTTATGAGAACCTTTGAGGAAGTGACAAAACTCTCCTCCCCAAGAGCTGGAAGTTCGACATCCAAAGGGAAAATCAAACCACGTGACCCTGGGGTGGCTGAAGTCCCTAGGATAGTCCCTAGGCAGGCGTTTCAAAAACCAGAAAGTCACACTCACACACACACACACACACACACACACAAACACCTCTGCCCTGTGGGAGTCATGAATCCGGCACAACCCGAGGGCAGAGCCAATTAAATTTAAAGGGTAATTTATGGGGCCCTGTAAGCCCTACCCCCAAATCCATCCTTCCAGCAAATAGTCCCCCTCCACGTCACACAGATCAGGTCTCCCCCTCCTCACCCACCGCCTTGGTCTCCTGGGTTGTTTCTGCAAACCCTCTACCAGTGTCACTGCCTCCTCGCCACTTTCTGGCCGCTGGCCCCGCACCCAGCTCTGCAGTTCTCCAGGCAGGACGGTAAGGAACTGTTCCAGCACAAGCAGCTCTAGGATCTGCTCCTTCGTCCGCCTCTCTGGCCTCAGCCACTGACGACAAAGTTCTCGGAGTCGAATGAGAGCGTCTCGAGGGCTTGCTGCTTCCTGGTAGCGAAAGCATCGGAAGTTCTGGTGCGAAGTCTCAAGCACTGGCTCATCCCTCTGGGAGATAGGTTCTGACCTACAGGTGAAATCATCTTCCAGCTTCACCATTAGAATCCCCTCTTCTTCCCAAAGATCCTGGTCCTCTGGTTCCAAGGTTGTGGCCATTTTACAGCTAGGGGGTGGTCTCTCACCAGATCTCACGCTGTCATTACACCCCAGTCTCAGCCCGGGCACCTCAAGGAGTTTCTCCCAAGGGACCTGAAGTAGAGAAGTAGAGACAAACAGTATAAGCATGAAATTATATACAGGGATAACAGTTCTGAGTTCGATCATAATCTTGTACATGCAACACTTCCTCAAACTATTAAATCCCTTAATCTCCATAACCATGTTGTAAATAGATCTATTATAGTTGGAATAGGATGACCTATGCCTGAAGCTATGTTCCCCACCTCTGTTCCCAGGCAAGGTTCACACCCCATAGCAAAATACTGCATATCTACTTCATGAAACCTATTAACCTAAAAGGAAAATGGCTAGGGATAAGGACGCTGCTAAAAAACGTGGTACTGACTATGGTCTGTTTTACACACACACACACACACACACACACACACACACACACACACACACGATGTATACTCTCAGAAAAGACACATTAACATGGCTGAAATAGATAGGGAAAGCTTTATTGAGGTTCATTCTAAACTGAATTACACCCAGTATTAACTTCTGTAAAATGGGACTTTCAGATTTGATGGGAGGGTTGTATGAGTTAATAATGAGGAAAAACTTACTCAGTGGCTGGCACATAAGCACCTCGAGAAGCAACTTTCCTCTTGTTAAGACATATTTAGTTGCAAGACCTACAGATTCTCAAACCCAAGTGTTCAAACTGAATTCACCATTCTTACTCCCAAACCCTCTAGTCTTTCTGGAATCCTGTCTTGGCTGGATCAGCACTTGTTCAGTCAACACTCAATTTTGTAATTCTTGGATTCAACTTTGATTCTTCCCCATTGCTTACAAGCTCATTAAACCAAGTCTACCTCTTAAGCCTCTAAATCTGTTTCCTCTTCTCTCAGTTTGGGCCTCATCTCTTGCCTGGACCACTGCCCTAACTTTGTAACTGGGATCCCGCTAGTACTCAACTGTGAGCAAAATGCAACAGAATTACTGTGGAGCTTTTACAAAACACAGTATCACACATCATTCTTCTGGGTATTCTGATTCAGCCAATCGAAGCAACTGTATCTTTAGAAATGCTGTGTGGTTCTGATGTGCATCTTCATTGGGAAACACCTACGGTGTGTAAGGTTAAGAGAGTCTTGGAATCAAGCTGCTAGGGTTTGAATCCTGGCCCTGTAGTTCACTAGGCCTGAGGCCATGGGCAAGTTCTTATTCTCCTTATGCCTGTGGCCCCATTTACAGAATCGAAGGGATAATGCTATCTAATAGGGTTATCTATTACTATGAGGATTAAATGCATTACTATCTGTGAAGCAAATTACTATCTGCCCCCCAATGTTAACTTTTGTGTTGTTTCCAAATCATAGTTCCAACTGCATCACTCGACATTTAAAAAATAACTTCTTACTATAAGGTCAGTTCCAAAATCCTTGGCACCACACTTGAACCTCTTTACAATCAGCTCTCAATCAAGCCTCACATCCCACCTCTTCTCTGTTATCACCTGACTATAATAAACATACTGCTGACCTTCCTACAACACGATGTCTCTTCAGGCCTCCGGACCTGTCAAGGCTGCTGCTTTTGCACAGAATACTTCACCCCACCTTCAATGTTGCATGGTGTTCCTATTTCTTCCTGACCGGTCCCCCTCTTCTTCATTCCCATGATTTACTAGTTAAGTCCCTATCAGTTCTCATCTGGATAACTGAAACTGCCTCCAGATTTGCTGCCTTTAAGGTCCAGTCACAGCTTCCTCTTTCCGCCTCCACGCACTGCAAAGGTTCATACCTCATCATGTGAGTTACTACAGTGGAATTCTAACAGATTTGACTGCTTCCAGTGTTACCCCTCCATAAAACATGATTGCCGGCAAACATTGTAAATATTAAATCACATCCTATTACTTCTCAGCATAAAATGCTCAATGACTCCCCAGCACATGCAGGATGGACTACAAACACCTCAGCTTTGCATGCAGCTCCTTCTGTCCATCCCTCTCTGTCCATGCCCCATGCTTACCGACTCTTTCTTACCTGCTAATTCTATTTTGAAAACTCAACTAATGGTTCACATCCTCCAAGAAATGCGCTCTTGGGCTGGCCGAGTGGCTCCGTTGGTTAAGAGTTAGCTTAAGGGCTGGCCGAGTGGCACGTTGGTTGAGTTGGATTAAGGGCCGGCTGAATGGCGTGTTGGTTAAGAGTTGGCTTGGGAGGCCGGCTTTGAGCAGCACAGCCCTGGTTCGGATCCCACATATGAGGGCCAGTGACACTGCCTTCTACAGCTAAAACGGTGAACAACAGCTCGACCTGGAGCTGGGCTGCCGTGAGTTGCTGGTGATGGCATAGGCTACAGTGGGCTGCCATAAGTTACCGTGTGTGGCCAGCAGCCAGTGTGAGTGGCCAGCAGCTGGTGTGAGCTGTCAACAGCTGCCGTGAGGCCCGCAACTGATCTGCCTCACCCAGGAAGAGCGCAATGATGATACCAACATGGGCTAGTGAAGCAACGTCCTCCACAACTAGAATGAAGAACAAAAGGACAGCAACTTGTCTGTTCCCCTCCCCCAATTCCCCAATAAAATCTAAAAAAAAAAAAAGTTAGCTTAAGAGCATGAGCTCTGAGCAAGAGGGCCGCCGGTTCGATTCTCACATGGGCCAGTGATGCTGCGCCCAAGCTGAGCTGCCCCTGAGCTACCAACAGGTGGCAGGATGGCTCAACTGGTGAGAGCATGTGCTCCTAACAACAAGACTGCCAGTTCCATGGTGGGCTACGTCTGCCCGCAACTAAAACTGGACTTGGCACCTTGAGCTCAGCTGCCGCCCAGATGGCTCAGTGGATAGGGAGTGCGCTCTTAACAACAAAGCTTCTGGGTTCGACTCCCGCATGGGATGCTGGCTACGCCCACCTGCAACTAAGACTGAACTCAGCACCTTGAGGTTAGAGGCCACGAGCTGCTGACAGGCAGCCAGATGGCGACTAGCACCCTCTACAACTAAGATTGAAGAACAACAACTTGGCTGGTCCCCTTCCCATAGTCCCCAATTAAAAAAAAAAAAAAGTGTGCTCTTGGCAAATTTGGTGATGTCTCTTCTCTATTTGAGACCTTCAATCACTCCTCCCTGTCTTATAAGTGTAATAAAAACTTCTAAGTATTATATATTAGGTTGACCTTCACCTTACTCCCTTTGCCCTCTTCTCCAGTCCTTTCACACAGTGTGCACATGCAAAGCACACAAAAGCCCTAAGTTCTTTGGCTTTTGAACATGCTGTTCCTTCTGACTCTTCACCCTTCATTAGGCTAGACTTTACTTATCCTTCGAGACGTAACTCAGGCTTCACCTGCTCTGAGATGTTTTCCTGATCCCATTCCCCCCTATCCTCAGACATGGTTAGAAATCACTTTGCTTCCATAGCAACCTGGGCACATCCTTATCATAGTATCTGTCATATCAAATAGCTATTGTTTATCTTTCCTGTGAAACTCCTTGAAGTTTGGGACTACGCTTTTTATAAATCCTAATCCTATAATAAAGTGTACAATAAATGCATTTAAATGAACTTCTACTTCTTCCTACTCTAACAGGAACAATCAATCTTTTCCGCCATTATGTTTCTACTCTCTTTTATTCACCAAATCTTGTTAATGCTACCTTCTAAATGTCTTTCGATATCATCCACCTCATCTCCACTGCCAGTCGAGCCATTATGATCCACTAAATGGCATTAATAGAATCCTTTAAAAAAATGATGTCCGCCACTCCTATGCTGCTCTGGCACATAACAGGCACTTAAATGTTGAATGAATGACTTGGTTCAAGTTTCACCACTGGTCCTGCCCCGTCCAGGCCAGGTTGCAGTCCTCACATGCAACCTCAGTAATTCTTCATTTTCAATAGAACTGCCTCAGATCCACCTTTAAGATTATCAATCCACTTTTAACAGCTGTCTAGTGTGCTGCTGCCCATCAAATGAGTTTAATTACTGTTATTCATTTTTTATTATCTAGATCTCATATCGCTCTTCATTCATGCTATTTTTCTATTATCCTCAAGTATTTACTATATACTTTCATAGCCTGTTTTATTTAAATAGTTCCATAATCTCTAGATCTTCATGGGCTAAACTGCTTACTTATTAAATCTGCTGTCTCTACCTCAAAGTGGTTTGTTTTCTCAGATGGTAGTTTTTAAAATTTTATGCCCATCTTCGGTGAGATTTTTACTTGGAGTCCTGAGAGCCCTAGGTTATAAAAATAGAGCCTTTAAACGGAATTTCACTTGCTTTTACCTAAGAACTCATGGTTTCAATGATCTTGGATCAGTTTTTGTTAATTTTTCACAGTATTCCTGAATTATGCTGACAGTGTATTATTTGGGCCTATGCCTGTGAGTTTTCATTCTACTCAAGCCTATGGAGGCCTCTTTTCTTGTCCCTTTGCTTGATCACTAGACAGATTTTCATGGAGGGGGCAGCTCTTCAAGGCTCCAGGCTGTTAGATGGTTCAATTTCATATACCTTCCCCATCCCCACCAGTTTCCCAGTTCCTATCTCCTTGTTGGAGCACAGATATTAGAACCCAAAACTGAAGTCTTCATTTTGGTTTGAAATCTCCTTAGGCTGTAGTGGAGTCAGCTTGTACTTACTCCTCTAGTTTTTATTTCTGGAACCTATATATTTACCTTCCCTTTTTTTTTGGTGGTGGGGGGCAGGTGGATACAGGAATGTAATAATGGGCAGGAACCCCCTCCATATTAGTTGTACCTGCAATATTGCAGGAAGGTCTGAGTGGTGAACTTTCTAACACAAGAAATCAGCTAATGGCTTCACACTGTCCACAGGATAACATTTAAACTTCTTACAGTTTGATTCTCAAGGCCCTTCAAGACATAGTCCCTGTCTACCTCTTTTCTCCCATGATTGCCACACCCATTGAAAGTCACTGCTCGAAAGTACTGCTCTCTTTTTTCTGTGCCCTCACTGGGCTTTCAAGATGCTATTCACTCTGACTAAAATAGCCTTTTCCACTCCGTTTACTTGTATCACTCTACTCATCCATCAGGATCTCAGATTTCCCAGGAGCCTTCCCTGATCCTCCCAGATTGTTTCCACAGGAACTTGTACCTCCCCATATCACAGCACACATACATATCTATTTTTTGTATGGTGAAAATTGGTCATCTTGCCATTTAACTCACCAGACTGTAAAGTTCTGAGGGCAGGCACATAAAGCACCCAGTTCAATGCCTGTCACACAACAGGTTCTTGCACAGAAAACACTTGTTTTTTTAAGTCTCTCCCTGGAGGGATAGATACCATGTCTTATTCATTTGTCCAGCAAGTCATGTGGACAAAGGAATAAATAAGGAAAAACCATTTACTGTTTGGATTATGAGTAAAACAGAATAAGGTGGTTCATTACATGATGTAACCACAAGTCATCACAAGGAATCTTCAGGTTGTCTTGAGATATCCAAATGCAAGTCACACAAATCTCACAGTATTCCTGAATTATGCTGACAGTGTATTATTTGGACCTATGCCTGTGCATTTGGGGGAAAAAAAATCATTTTCCTTTGAGGATTTAAATCAACTTTAATAAGTACAAAATCAGACATCAAATAGTTCAATATAACTACAATAATGATTATTTACCCAAAGTTTCCCAATCCTGACCTCCAACAATCTTGCAAGGCAGGGAGAGAAGATAGAATTGACACATAGGGTCTTCTGGCTTAATGAAGGGATATCTATTATCTTAAAAGTCTGAGAACCCATGCCCAGTGAAGCAGACCAGGAACCTCAGTTTTCATGTAGCACTAGCTACAAGAGATTTCATACTATGGATTCTATAAAGTATGCATTGACAGAAGGGTTCCCACTCTCACAAGGCTTTGCTTTCCAAAGAAAAAAGAATGTAACAGCGCCACAAAAAAACCTGCCACTTTTAAATGCCCTTCAGAATCATGCACTGAGATTTCCATTGTTTGTCTGTATCTACTTCGGCAGCCTAGGAAAATGAGATGAAGGCAAAGAGCTCAGCAAAAGCGCAACGAAGGGAGGAAGAGGAGTCCCTGGTGGGACAAAGAGATGGCAAAGAACAGGAGGCAGGTGGTGCTTTGGGAAGAGCACTGGATTAGGTATCCAAAGATGAACCGTCCAGCCCCAGATCCCCAAGAAGCTGGAGCTGCTCTAAGGGTTTCTTGGGATGACATACAAAAGAGCCCGTGTAAAGGGTAAAGCCCTCTGCAGATAACTGCTCTAACTCACAGGATGAGCTAAGATCTGTGCGAGTTTGTGAACTACAATGTGCTGTGCAAATGTCAGATATCAATATTAGAGACAGAAAACAGCTTTATTCTACAATTCATGGGATGTGCTACACTGTAAGTCTGCCTTGCATTTTGTTGCCCTTGCTATATTTTAATACCCTTCCATTCAGTATCCGTCCTTGGAAGGGTTCCACAGTGACAGACAAAAACTGAATAGGATAATATAGAGACATGTGAAGCCAGGCAAGGAAGAGTGAAAGACTTGGTTCCAGAAGGCTCTAAAACAATGTCTACAGAGACATCTCATAAGCCTAGGCCCCATTATCTAGTCTCTTGAGTGTGTATTTCTAGGATATATGGGGCAGGACTAGGGAGAAGATGTGGAAAAGGAAAAACCTCTCTCCAATCTTTGGTCCAGCTATCTGCCTCTTTATCTGATTGTGTAACAGGCCTGTGAAGATGCTAATGCAATTCTGACAAGAACAGAAAACTAAAGACAATGAAAGGATATCTGGTTCTCTACCTTAAAATGTTACTATATGGGGTGATTTTTCTGGAGCCAAAATGACAAGGTTTATAGTCACGTTATTATCTATTTAAAGGAGAGATGGTGATCTACTTACTAGCAAATAATTTTCAGAATAGTGATCAGAGAGGTTCAAATGATTTTGTTTAGCAGACACCTATATCCCTTCAGTCTCCATTATTATATTTTACCCTACTGCAGGCCCATAACCTGGAAATATGAACACAACTCCTTCCTGGGTTACTGCCAAAGCTCCTCATTGTTCTAGAATAGAAATCAACTAATAAAAACTAAGTACCTTTTTCCAATGCAGTATTGCTCTTTAGAACAAAAAGTTATCTCAGTATGATCCTTCTACTAGAAAAATTCTTTTGTTAATTTTCCTATATACAAATATTTATTCATGCTTCCCACATAATAGATAGGGGTTTTGAAGCCCTGGCTTTGGATCCCTCTCCTGACTTATTAGCCATGTGACACTCCCTAAGTCTCAAGTCTCATCTGAGGCTTGTGGCTCATACTACCCACCTCACGTGGTTGTTCTAAGGAGTAAATTAAGTAACGTATAGAATCACTCAGCATAGAACCTGGCATAGGGCAGATGCTCAATGTATTTTGTTCTCTCTTTTTCAAGTTGGTCTAAATCCTTTTGGAAAGAAGGCAAGATTTAAATGTCGAACAAGCAAAAAGTCCTTTATTTCATCATAATTACAAAAAACTTAAAATGTACAGGAAAAATCTCATTCTGTTCACTGTTGTATCAAATGTCAAGTGTTAAACCAGAACAGTCCTTTCTTTGAAGGCACTTATAAGGTAGGAATAAATAAGATCATTGGAACAAAGATGGGCTGGAATCTTAAAGACAGGTTCTCTTGCTGAAGACCATATCAGTTAGCAATGCTTCTAATTATCAATATTATAGGTCCTTCCCCTCCCCTCCCTGTAACCGGGAGGAGGCAACTTGAGGCGAGTACAGTTAGTATATCCAAGAAGTTCCTTGAAAACAACCCAGAAGGCAAACAAAAGGGAATGCATTCACTGACTTTTGGCTTTCGAACACATCATGATTCGTATGCTTCAAACTACGAGGTGGACAATTAAGTTCGCGAACTCATCCTAGAAAAAGTGCTACATACTTCATTGCTGAATACCACTACAGTCACCTTCAAAGTACTCCCCTATGCACCGATGCCAGAGTCTAGTCCACTTCAAAGCAATTTTGGAACTCTTTTTCTGGAATGGCCATCAGTTGTCATATTATCCTTGGTGTCCTGAATGTCATCAAAATGTCTTCCTTTCAATACTTCCTTTATGTTCGGGTAAAGAAAGAAGTCATTGGAGGCCAGGTCAGGTGAGTAGGGAGGGTGTTCGAATATAGTTATTTGTTTACTGTCTAAAAACTCCCTCACAGACAGTGCAATGTAAGCTGATGCACTGTTGTGATGCAAGAGCCATGAATTGGTGAAAAGTTCAGGTCATTTAACTGTTTCACCCAGCCTTTTCAGCACTTCCAAATAGTAAACTTGGTTAACTGTTTGTCCAGTTGGTATAAACTCATAAGGAATAATCCCTCTGGTATCAAGAAAAGGTTAGCAACATCGTTGCAACAAGTCCTCCAGCTTAATTGTCACACCTCATATATTTAAAAACTATTTATTCAAAATATTTTTGCCACTTAAAGTTTTCCTTCTTCATAAGATTCAACATACAATATTTGAGTAGCATGGGGAGAAGCGGCTTCAAGCTTATCACAACAGGTTTCAAAGAAATAGAATAAGGTGTAGAGAAGGGGAAGAAAGGAAGAAATAAAAAGGTGAAATAAGAAGTGGTGGTACAGAGAAGTCAGTGGAGGCTAAGGCATACATAGTTTCTGCTCTGAAATTTTGTACTTTGTGGTTAGGATCAAAGAATAAAAAATGTCACTGAGAGTAAATGTAAACATGAAAAGCATAAAATAACGCTACAAAATCATAATAATTCACTTTATTTTTAATTAAAATGTTTTCTATAGATATATATCACAGGCCCAGGAGGTTGAACAGTTGATGCTCTACCTCCTAAAGATGTGTCATCTTAGACAAGTGACATTGACTCATCTTGAAAATGGGGATATTCTCTACTAAAAAGGCAGAGAGCTGGATTATCTTTTGAGAAACCATCCAGCTTTTTAATGGTGATGAGGGAGGGGTTTTGAGAGAAACAAGGAGATACGGCTTCTTTATTGAGTACTTGGGCCATAATGTATTAGCCTAGGATGGCGAGTGAGATTTATTCCAGAGTTGAAAGGCCTAGAGGCCAAGTACAGATTTTAAGAGTCCAGAATTAAGTATGTGGCCATCACGATCATACCTGTTAATCTCCAACATGAAGCTAGGTTTTTCAACCTTAAGTAACAGTTATTACTCAGAAGTGCTAATGGCCTAAATAAAGCAGGTCAATTTATATGCCCTACTTTAAAACAGAACATCACAATAATCTGAAGTGGGAAAAGGGCAGTCATCAAACCTGATCTCCAGCCTTATGACAGCAGCAGCTTTCATTTGGCAGCCAGGGTTAAACTAGCTAAATCCAATGAACTACTACAACAAATGTGGGCAATTCCAATCACAAAGAAAAACATTATTTAATGAGAAATAACAGGATAATATATATTATAAATACAGCCTGACCTGCGGTGTAAATTCAGATAATTTAAAAGTCAGTTCAAAATAATTTACTATGTTTTTAGTTTTGTAATTAATATGCTAGTCGGGAACTTCTTGCTCTGTATCTAGGTGACTTCCTTTTGGCTTTGCCCAAGGTTCCCTTGCATATGATGAGATGATAAGGACCCATGACTGCAGGAGGACCAAAGGAATCTGAGAGTATCAGGTTTCCACTACAGACTAAATCAGGCTCGCGAGCCACATGCTGCTCTTTGGGTACGTTCTGTCTCAAAAGTTTGCTGACCCCTGGAAGAACCAATCCTGTCCCTCACAACATTTAAAAATTATTCAAGATCCATAAAACAAATGAAATCACCATTATGTGAGTAATGTCCTTTAAAAATTTTATAAATGAAACTATGATAGTTTTATTTTCATTTTCAATTTTACTTCAGAGCCACATGTACGTACCCAAAGAGCCGCATGTGCCTCGCGAGCCGCAGTTTGCTGACCCCTGGACTAAATCATGGTCCAAAGCAGAAGTCATCCCAGGATGCCATTCTTGTTGTGGGAACTGTTTAGCATCTTTATCTTCTTCTGTGAGTGCTGCCCCTAAGGGCAAGGACCTCTTCATTTGCATATTTCCAACACTTTGTCAAATACTTGGTAGAAAAGGTGTTCAATAAATGTGTTAAATTTAGTTAAGCTATTTCTCTTCCCCCAACTTGGATATAGAAACACTGAAATTCAGAATCAGGGTTGCAAGGGCTTCTGGGAAATAAACCACTCACAGGGAGTGTTATCAGCATTTGGCATTAGCATTTACTCCAATCTCCTGGAAGAATCAGATGGCATAACCACCTACTGCTTTACTATGTGGCATAGGATTAGTGGAGAAAAACTTCAAGGGAGCAGGTGGGCAGGGGATATAGTTGATTCAATCCAAATACCTGCTGAGCATCAATTTTGTGTCCCACACAATTCAAGGTGCTAGGCTGAGAAAGATGCAAAAAGCACAGGCGCTAACCTTAAAGACTTTAACATACGCATATAAGTAAGAAATAGCAGGAAAAAAAAAAAAGAAATAGCAGGGACTTTACATACCAAGGGTTCACAGTAAAAAACCTAGAATATGGGTATAAGCTATATGATGAAAAAGCTCTTATCAAGAGAAATAAGCAAATCAAGGGAAAAACTTATCAATATTTCATCAATTTGGCATAAGATAAAGCATTTAGAGTTTTTTCTTAAAGTACACTTTCTTAATTCTACAAATGAAAGAACTCAGAGCTAGGTGGTTAAATTACCCACACAAGACCATATCACTAGTTTTCAGCACGGAAGTACTCACAGGTCTTTTGATCCCCAAACCACTGCAGTTATGTGAAGAACTTTGGCCAAAGGCAGTGGTTCTCAGCGTGAGAAACCCAGGCCAGCAGCACCAGCACCTAGGAGCTTGTTAGAAATGCAAATTCTCAAGCTCCAGCCCAGACCTATTATCAGAAACTCTGTGGGTAGCAACACCAATCAGTGTTTAACAAGCTCTTCAGGTGCTTAAGATGCATGATAAAGTTGAGAACCAGCACCTAAGGCAAAGGAAGTAAATCTGAAGTTCAAGCAGAAAGGATCCAACTTTTCCAGTGTTGGCCAAATTTACAGGAGGGTTTGAAAAAGTAGAGAGAGTCTAGGATTGAGTGTTATGTGTTTTATGCCTGAGTCAAATTAACTGGAACAAAAAACATACACCTGTAACTTACCTCATCTGTATAGTTTGTAATGCATAAGAGTCCCTCACATTGTAATAAACCTTGCTGTGCCTTGAAAGGACTGTCTACTGCAATACAGTATACAGAAAGAGTGCAAAAGGGGTACAGCTGGAGGAGAAAGGGGGAAAAGATTATGAATCACAGGTGTTTGGTCACAGGGGGAACTAGTCCCTTCCTCCCTCCATACCTGCCCACCTTCTTATGCTGGGCAGTAAGAACAGAAAGTTACTCAAGACACATGGCCCCAAACCTTAACTGCTCTGCTGCCACCCATTTCCCAACGACAAGCCTCCTATGGCTACCCCACCACCTTTCCGAAGTGGCTTTCTGGATCGAGGCCCATGGGGCGGCCTGGGAGACACGTTGGGAGGAGAAACGAGGGACTCCACTAGCATTCCTCGCGGTTTGTGAGTGAGGCTGCCCTGGGTGTCATCTGCAGCGTGTGGATGGAGAAAGAGCAACAGTTCTAAGCCCAGCCTCTAAGTAAGAGCCTGGATGTGGCACTGCTCCCCAGCAGGGACCAAGACAGACAAGGTTCTCAAAGCCCCGAAAAATACAAATCGGGCTGACACCTTTCCGAGAGAACACAGCACAAACATTGGCACACACACTAACAAACTTTCAGTCAACCCAACCAAAAAGCAGGGGCCTGCACACTCCTGGCTGAGGGAAATGGTGGTGCGGAGAAGTGCCCCAACTGGCTGCTAGGGGGTCGGGAGAGGGAAGCTGCAAGTGGAGACAGCAGCCACCGGCGTGAGGGGTAGCTCGGGGTCGTCCCAGGGGCAGCTGAAAAGCCACGGGCAAGGCTGTCTCCATGGCCTAGTATGATCACGGGTGGTACGATCACAGGTAGCTCTGCATGTGTGTTGGACCAGGGGTTAGTGGTGGGAAGAGACGGGGCTCGTCTGGGCAGGGAGTCTGCGGGGACGATTCCTGAGCGATCTGAAAGGCGGGGTGAGAAAACGCTGCGAGAAATCAAAGGGGCCTAGATCACTTCTCCCTCGGTTCCGGGGGAGCAATTGGCGCGGAAGCCATGGGAAGTGCGGTCGAACTGCGTTCCTGCAGGCCTCGGGAGGGGACGGAGGGCGGTGACTGGAAAGAACGCCTGGAACACCGTGCGCGTCCCCAGAGGTTCTAGTTCCGACCACCAAGAGACACGAGGGCCGTAACGCCTGGGGCTCCTCACTACAGTGCCACCGCCCTTTCCCCAGGACGGTACGATCTTCCCAGGCTCCGGGGGGGCGGGGTCTCCGGCACTCACGGCTCCGACAGCTCCGGTGGCTCCTCCCCTACCCCGGCTTCTCCCCCACCCACTCCGGCCGAAGCAACGCCGCCGGATCCGAGCCGCGCGGGGCCTGGCGGGTCGGAACACGTGGGGCCTTTGCACCCGGAATCGGAAGCTGCCCTTCGCTCCGCCCCCTCGCCGCGCTGGAGCCTTTCTAGGCTCTGGGAGGTCTGGTCCTCTCTGTGTGCGCAACGCGGGTTGAGGCTCCCGGCGTCCGGGGTGCTAGTGCGTTTACCAGTCTCAGACCAGACCGCTTTCGTCTGCACGCCCGCTTCTCTGTGCTTTCTTTTTGTTTTTCTGTTTTTGATCTTTTGTTTTGCTTTTGATGCCTGTACCTCTACTTGTTTCTTTTGATTTTTTTTTTTTTACCCCCTTTGCGTTGTCCGCGAAGCATGGTAGAAAAGAGCAGTTTTGGGTTTGAATACTAGCCCTTGCATTTACCGTTAGTTACAGAGCTTAAGACAAATCCTTCCACCTGTCTGAACCTCAGTGTCCATCTTCTAAAACAGGCGTAGTAATACTGTTGCTTTGGGGACTAAATCATAGTTGCATGTAAACTTATTAGAACATGGTAGAAGCTTAGTATGAGAATAGTTATGATACCATTGTTCTATCCTGTGATCATTTCTTTGTGTTTCTTTACTTTGAGACTCTTCCATGATCTCATTTGCTCATTTTTCTCTGAGTGACGTTTCTGCCTGAACCTGCCATTTTCATTTTTACTCTCTGCCCCTTCAACCTCCTAAATCACCCCTCTCCAGGTGCCATAGGAGGTTCTAGCTCTGGCTACCTTCTCTACCCCTTATGTCTTACACATTTCGTGTTCATGGGACATATTGCTGGGATCTGTTTATTGTGTTTGAACCTAAGGTATTCATTACTTTGGTGGAGGGAGAGAAATATACAGTTCATGAAAGCCTACTGTGTGCCAGATGTTTTCTCTATATATCTCATTTAGTATTTTAAAATAGGGGCAGCCGGGTGGCTCAGTTGGTTAGAGCGTGTGCTCTGAACAACAAGATTGCTTGTTTGATTCCCGTATGGGCCAGTGAGCTGTGCCCTCCGCAACTAGATTGAAACTACTTGACTTGGAGCTGATGGGTCCTGGAAAAACACACTGTTTACCAATAAAATTTCTAAAAAAAAAAATAATCTAACCATTCAAGTTTATAAATAAATTTTTAAAATATTTTAAATTATTAAGTAATATATAAGTTGTTCAGAATTGTTGATATTACAAACAGTGCTATAATAAACATCCTTTTCGTGCATACGTGCAAATGTTACTCTGGGACAGATACTGAGAAAAAGCATTACTGTGTTGTAGGTTGTACACATTTAATTGGTACTGCCAAAGTATTTTCCCAGTGACTGCACCTATCTGTCTATGAGAATATTTCTCCCCCATATCTATGCCATTATTTTGTGTTGCTGAACTTGTAAATTTTGTCCAATCTGATGGGTGAAAAGCGATGTCTCATTGTTTTACTTTGCCTCCCTATGATTGATAGTGAGACTAAACATCTTTTGTGTGTTTATTGGCAATTTTTAGTTTTCCTATGAGTTGGCCCATTTTCCCATTGGATTTTTTTGGTCTTTTTCTTATTCATGTTTAGATGTTCTTTATGTATTCTAGATACTAATAATTTTATATACGTTTTGCAAATATTTTCTTCAACTTTATAGTTTCTATTCTTTATTTATAGTAATAAAGTTTTTTTAAAAAAGATTTTTATTGGGGAATTGGGGGATGGGACCAGCGCTGGGGAATTGGGAGAAGGGGACCAAACAAGTTGCTGTCTTTTTGTTCTTCAGTCTAGTTGTGGAGGACGTTGCTTCACTGGCCCAAGTTGGCACCATCATTGTGCTCTTCCCGGGTGAGGCAGATCAGTCGCCGGCTTCTGGACGGCCGCTCACTGCGGCTGCTGGCTGCTCACGCTGGCTGCTGGCTACAAACGGTAGCCCATGGCAACCCACCTGCTGTCGCCGGTGACTCACAGCAGCCCAGCTCCAGGTTGAGCTGTTGTTCAGCATCTTAGCTGTGGAGGGCAGTGTCACTGGCCCTCATATGTGGGATCCGAACTGGGGCCCTCTGGCGTCCCAAGCCATCTCTTAACCAGTGTGCCACTCGGCCGGCCCTAGAGTGCTTTTTTGATGAAAACGAGCCCTGGCCAAAGAGACAAGCTGCCAGAGCTTGAGATGTCACATTGCCCCCTGCTGTTTCTTAGGACTCTGGAGCCCAAATATCTTTTCACATTCACAAGAAATTACACAAGGACCCATCCAAAGAACATCATGAACATCCTGTGTAAAATAATTTAAGTAGAGAAACCTGCTTAAAGGAAGGGAGCTATCACCTTAGCATCATAATATGATCTAAGTGTCACAGACAGGGAGGAACCTAGTAAAGTCTGTTTGTTAGACTCCCTTCTGTGTCTCATTGTTTCTGGGTGGCCTCATTCATTTACTGAATGTTTTCACCTTGTCATCTACCTGTGAATTGCTTATTTTCCTTTAAAGTCAAAACCAACCCCCCTTTCGCCTTAGCTCAAGATGGCATATAAGCCTCTGATGACAAACTGTCCAATTTGTCATCAAGCCCTGTATCCTATAGATATGTAGTAAATTTGGTTATTTTTTTCTGTTAATCTGTCTCGTCAATTTGATTATCACATAAACCAGAAGAACTAAGAGGGAAAAGAAGGGAAATTTTTCCCTGTTCACAAGCCCAACTGCCTGACCGCCAGTGACTCCTCCAACTCCATATTCTTATGGAGCCCCATAGTATGAAATTAAACTAGATTTTCTCCTATAAATCAGTCTCATGTCAACTTAATTGTTTTTTGTTTTTTTTAAAGATTTTATTGGGGAGTTGGGGGAGGGGAATGGCCAAGTTGTTATCCTTCAATCTTAGTTGTGGAGGTCCCAGCAAGCTCAGTTCCAAATCTAGTCACGCCGCTGAGCTCAAGGTGCTGTGTTCAATTAGTTGGGGGTGAGTGTAGCCACCATCCCATGTGGGAATCGAACCAGCAGCCTCGTTGTTAAGAGCGCACGCTCTATCCCTTGAGCCACCGGGGCAGCATCTCAGCTCATGGTGCTGAGTTCAGTGTTTTGTTTTTTTTAAGCTGAGCCATCCTGCCACCTGTTGGCAGCTCAGCGGCTGCTCAGCTCGGGCCAGGAATCGAACCGCTGTTGCTCAGAACTCAAACTCTTGAGCGAGCTCTTAACCAACTGAGCCACTCGGCCAGCCCCCAATTTAATTCTTATACCAACCAGGAGAACCTAGGAGGCTAGAGGAGAAATTTTCCTCCTTGACAAAACCATTCTTTTGATGATAGGTTTTAATAATATTTATGTCCTTAGGGTCTCTCTCTTTGCCTTCAAATGTTCAATTTTCTCTGCCCAGCCCGAAGACAGCTCCTCTCTAAGATAAAATCAGGGACGGCAGTTGAGATAATAACATTTTCACCTCATTACACTTTGTTTTGCATTTGCAGTTTTCAGTTCAACACTAAAAAGAATGTGCAATAATCTTTTTAAAAAGTCACAGTTTTAATGGGCTTTTAATGATAGTATTTCTTTGCTGTTGGAAGAGAGACATATATAACACTAATTATTACCAGCTGTAGGACTTACCTGCATCATCATTCTCTAAAAACCTTTTTCTGCCAGATATCTTGCCTGAGAACAAGGTTAAACCAGTAGGTTTGTCATTTATTTATTTTGAAGGACCTTACATACTAAGCTTACATGCCAGCTCTGAACTTAATGTAACCTTGGGGCTGAGTTTTCCAGCAAGAAAGCCTCCATTGTTATATTGGCTCTGAGATTTTTGTTGGTGTCCTAGGCACATGACCTACCTAGATTGAAGCATAGAAACTGTCATGATCCGATAGAGAAGTTTCATGATACTCCCAAATTTGGTACTAAACACCTTTAGATTCATCTAAAAATTTGTTTTATATCAAGACGAATATCCCCTTAATGAGATATTATCAGACAAAAACCTGGTTCATCTCAAGCATTTTCAAAAGACCATTGTAATTAATTAGGAGGCTTCAGGGGACTTCTACTATGAAGAAAATAAGTACTGAAAAAAATGAGGTTTGGGATGCCTTATGCCTTTGACAAGGAGATGAGGCAAAGGGGGTCGTTATAAACAAAGAGCAAGACAGGATTCCTTACATTTTAAAAAAAAGTTACTGACAGTGTATTTTACTTTCAGCCTATAACTGAGAAAGTCCTGAGCTCTACCTCACCCATCTCAGGGGGATCTGGGATTTCTTGTTGGAGAATTAGGTCACTTGCCCTCTTCCAGAAGGACTCCTGGTTCATTTATATGTAACTAATTCTTACAGGGAACCTAACCATCATAGTTTGCTTTCACATCTTTATCTTCTGCACAGTCCTTTCTCACATTTAATTTTTGTATCTGTATTAAGTTTGTTTTGAGGTGTTGCATGTTTTACTCTGCATGACAAGTCTTTGGAAAAGTTATTGCCTTCCTTACAGCTCCTTTCACCTCCTAGTTTCTAGTTGTATAAATAAAGGGATTTAGAATAAAAGGATAGTATTTAACACTGACACCACCTTGTTAATCTTAAAGGAAGAGTGTGCTGTGGGTCTCAGATACATGAACAAAACAGCTCCATGAAATAAGGAGACAACTGTCAGGTGAGCCACACAGATAGAGAAAGCCTCTGGCAGCCAGGGGCTGAAGGAACCAATTGGATGGCAGACAGGATATAGATATAAGAAATCATAGTGAGGAGGAGTGACCCTGGGATCACCACAATGGCTGCCAAGAGACCAAGGAGTTCCAAAATGCTTGGGTCTGCATGGGCTGCTTTCAGGATGGGACCAATGTCACAGTAGAAATGACTGATGACGTTGTTGCCACAGAATGGCAACTGGATCAGCAGCATCATCTAACAAAAGACAATGGTGAAGCCCACCACCCAGGAGCTAAGGGCCAGTTGCAGGCAGAGGTTGCTGGCCATGATGGTTTGGTAGTGAAGGGGCTTGCAGATGATCAAAAGACATGACAGTGAAGATGATCTCAGTGGTGCCCAGAAAGAAGTGGAAGGCCTGCAGCAGGCATCAGTGGGTGCAGACAGCTTTTTTTTTTTTTTTTTTTGCTACCACAGAAGTTTCTAGCAGTTTAGGGATAACTGTGGCAGTGTACCAGTTCTCTAGGAAGGACAAGTTGCAAAGAGAGAAGTACATTGGAATTTGTAGCCCGGGCTCAGCCCAGGCAATGGCAATAATGAGTCCATTGCCTGCAAAGGTTAATATGTAGATGAAAAAGACCACAATGAAAGCCTAGGAGGGTGAACTCTGTGATTGGCTTAACATTTCTCATGTCTCTTGATACTCTAATGATACAGACAAGAAAGTAGCACCTTAGAATCTCACACTCAAATACAGTTTAAACAAAGAAACAAACAAAAAAGGAGGATTCTGATTCTATTTAATAGACATTCTGCCTCCTTCACATACACATACACACCAAGTATTCCTTCCTTATTCATGATTTGGCTTGTTCCTTTGCCAGCTAAACCAGGTTTTAATGGACTTTGAATGTACTAAGTATACTTGATGAGTGGAAAAGTACCATTTCCCCCTTATACAGCAATGAGAATTATCATTGTAATATGATGGTTTATCTGTCAATAATGTGCATGCGTGTGTGTGTGTGCGCGCGCGCGCGTGCGTGTGTGTGTGTGTGTGTGTGTGTGTGTGTGTGTAAAAGAGAGAGAGAGAGAGAGAGAGAGAGAGAGAGAGAGAGAGAGAGAGAGAGAGAGAGGGAGAGGGAGAGAGAAGTATAATGTCAGCCTTCTTCTCTAACACATGTACATGTTTATCTAAGCTCTGTGGAGGAATGGGCTACAGGTGGTGACTGAATGAATTATTTTTAGACTCTGGTCACAGACAGCACTGCTGTGATATCCAGGTGACAAAGTGGGGCACATACAGGGACATACAGAGTCACTCTACTTTTGTGAGGGACATGGCTTGGCTTTGGCACCATGAGGACCTAGGAGTAGCGGCAATGGTACCAGTAGACATGGCAGTGCCTTGTGAGAATAGTGGTCCCAGCAGAAGTGGCAGCAGTGCACAGCAGAGGGGATGCAAAGCAAAGAACACATGGCAGGAACCAGGTGGTCGTTATCTGGACAACTGACTGGACTATGTTGTGAGTACATACGAGGTTTTGTAAGATTTGGAGGGAGGTTAAATGTCTCAAGTTAGGTAAAAGCACATTCAGAGAAATACAGCAAAGTAACCTTAGAAAACTAAGGTTATAGATTTAAAACCCTGGAATAAATACTTCAATTTATATTCTTATTACAATTTAATTGTATACTCTAGATTCTTTTTTTTACTTTTTTTAGAAAAGTCATAATGTATAGAGTCATGCAGTGTTGCTCTTCATTTCCCCATATCAATCAGTTACTTAGTCCTATTAGTTTACCTCCTTACTCACTCTCCAATCTGTTCCCTTCTTTCCATCTCATCTAGGCTTTTTAGTTCACGTCATCATCTTTCATCAGGATCATAATACGGCTTCCTAAATGGACTTCCTGTCCCTTGGCTGCCATACTCTTTCCTATCCATATATACAATTGTAGCAAGAGTGGTCATGCAAACACTATTCTGACAGTGTCACCCCTCAGAACCTTGAGGGTAAAGTACAAACTCCTTAGCATGCCATTCAAGGCCAGTGATGAGCTGATCTTACCCACTTAATCTTCCAGCCTGATCTTCTGCCATTGTTTCTTCTTTCCTTCCCCATTCTATGCTCCATGCTTACTGAATTACCTAGGTTCAGAGGTTGGCAAACCATTACCCTATTTTTGTAAATCAAAATTTACTAGAACACAGCCACACTAATTTGTTTACGTATTGTTTGTGGCTGCTTTTGTGTACAATGTCAGAGCTGAGTAGTTCCAACAGAAATCATACGGCCCCCAAAGCCTAATATATTTATTATCCCTTTGCCTAGAATACTTTTCCCCACTCTCTCCATTATTTGGCTAAGTCTAATCTGATTTCTAGGTCTCAGCTGAGGAACCAACTCATGGGAAGTCTTCCCTGACTTCCCATCTCTAATGCAGTTAAGGTGCCACTCTGATGCTTCCATAATATCCTGTGCATATATATATCAGAACATTTACAGACTGTATTTACTGTTTGGATTTCTCCATAAACTCTAAGGCCCTTGAGGGCAGCAATAGAATCTGTAGGGCGTCAGCATAGGGCTAGGCACAAAGTAAGTCCTCAAAAGATATATATATTTTTAAAGATTTGTATTGGGGAATTGGGGGATGGGAACAGTGCTGGGGAATTGGGGGAGGGGAAACAGACAAGTTGCTGTCGTTTTTGTTCTTAAGTCTAGCTGTGGAGGACGTTGCTTCACTGGCCCAAGTTGGCACCATCATTGCGCTCTTCCCAGGTGAGGCACATCAGTCGCCGACTTCTGGATGGCCGCTCACTGTGGCTGCTGGCCGCTCATGCTGGCTACTGGCTACACACGGTAGCCCATGGCAACCCACTGCCACAAGGGCTGCAGCCTACGTCATCACTGGCAACTCACAGCAACCCAGCTCCAGGTTGAGCTGTTCAGCATCTTAGCTGTGGAGGGCAGCGTCACAGGCCCTCATATGTGGGATCCGAGCCGGGGCCCTCTGGCGCTCTGGCGTCCCAAGCCAGTTCTTAACCAACACGCCTCTCTGGGCAGGCCCTTGTGTTGTCTTTTTGCACCTAAGATAACATCTTTGGAATGTCATTAATCCTTTTTCTGGACCAGAGCTAGAAACTGCAAAATTCCTCATTATTATGTTTGTCTCCTGATTACCATCTCTATGTGCTATAAAAAGCAACTGTTACCTATCCTGCACCGACTTATGTAAAAGAAGTACCTGTCTCTCCAATATACTCTTATCCAATCCCAGAGATTTCCCCTCTTTGCTCTCTCCCACCCCCTTAACCTATCACCAATGGATTTCACGTAACCTTCCTCCTTTGATTTTATGTATAAAATAAGCTGTAAACCACCATTTTGCAAACCATTCTCTCAATCCATTGAGATTTTGCTTCTGGCAATTGTTGACAGTTTGGCTCAAATAAACTCATAAGTTTTCTCTTAGGCTGGATGTTTTTTGTCAACATCAGTGTAATTTCAATACAGTTTTTTCCTTTCTTAAAATATGTGTACATTTTTTGGGCACCCTTTGTATATGGACCAACTTAATCGATACACAAAACTTTCTTACAGGGTAGTTTTTCCTATAGAACTTCGTCTCTTTAACTCTTTAGGTGATGCAACCAATCCTGAGAGAATTTACAACCTTGTTGCAGTTGTGGTTCACTGTGGAAGTGGTCCCAATCAAGGCCATTATATTGCAATAGTTAAGAGTCATGATTTTTGGCTGTTTAATGACAATATTGTAAAAAAAAAATAGATACACAAGCTATGAAGAATTCTACGGGTTGACATTGTTAAGTCCAGACAATTAATAAAGAGGCTGGATATCAAATTAGGGTTCCAAAGATTTTATTAAGCTGAGCTCAGCGACCATCTCCCCCTCTAAAAGGAGAACGGCCCCCAGGCTCGGGGGTCTGGCTTTTTATAAGGCAGGGCTATATGCAAAGTAAGTTACAGAAGTTAAAAAGAACGTGTAGTTATTCCAGTTAAAACCGCATCCCGCTATCACAACAGTGCTTTTTATGTTCAGATGTCTTAACAGTATATCGTGAC